CACTCGCACTCATTAGATACCTGTGTTCACTAGGGGTGTTACACACTTCGGAGGGGCTCCTTCAGCCCAAGCACTATAACAAGTCAATCATGGCATAAATCAGTAAAACATGTTGTGACGTGCAATTTGATCCCATAAATATCCTCACAATCAGGACCTGGCCTCACTCAGTTATCAAACTCTCCAGTCTCTCAGGCTCTCGGTAAATCATGATAATTTGCCCAAACATCAATGATATAATGCATTAGTAAAGAACAATAGAGACTGAGATATAATATGCAAGTAAAACTGTAATTGAGTACAAGCAGCAATTAGCAAATAATTCAACATGTAACACAGCCTCTATGGGTCCCTACAGTACCAATATATAGCTTAAACATGCTTTTTAACATGATTTGCAGTCAATTTTTATAACATATGGAGAACATACAGACAACAACAGATTATTCAACTATACAGTTCCATAAAATTGACAAGTCACAATTCCTATGGTGCACGCCCACACACCCGTCACCTAGCATGTGTGTCACCTCAAAACCAATCACATGACATATAATACGGGGTTTCATACCCTCAGAACCAAATTTAGAACTGTTATCAAACTGCGCGAATCCCTACTCCAACACGCCCTTGCCTCGCGAATTGGCCTCCAAATGCCTCGAATCTAGCCACAAATAGTTCGATACAATCAATACGGGCTAAAGGAAGCAATTCCATAAGAAAATACTAAGTTATAAATCAAAAGTCAAAATTCGATTCAAAAGCCGACCCCTGGTCCACGTCTCGGAATCTGATAATAGTCACAAAACCCGAAAGCTCATTTAGTCACGAGTTTAACCATACCAACTTTACCAAAATCCGACACCAAATCGCACTCAAATCCCCAAATCAAACTCTTCAAATCCCTAGCCTCAAACTCCCAAATTTCACCTTAAATACACACAAAACTAGGTGGGAAATTCAATGGGGAAACAAAATTATTGATTAAAAATGAGCACAAGTGGCTTTCCTCAAAAAAACCCCTCAAACATCCTCTCAAAAATCGCCCAATCCTAAGCTTGAAATGTTCAAAATGAAGAAAAATTGCGAACCCTTGAATTTAAATGTTCTACCCAGCCTTTTCGCTTCTGCGGTTCATTTTGCCACTTCTGCAGCACCGCTTTTGCGGTCAACCATCTGCATTTGTAGAAGTCACTAATGGCGACCAACCACTTCTGCGATCGCAAACCCCGCTTCTGCGGGTGCACATTTGCGCAAATCGTCCGCTTCTGCGAACCAACCTCCCCAAGCTCACTTTTGCTTCTGCGATCCTCCACGCGCAATTGTAAGTTCGCACCTATGACACACCCAAGGCCATACAAAATCTTGATTTTGTGCCACTCCAGCTGCACCTGCAGCAGCACGCCTCCAGCCAACCCCTCGCAGGTGTGATCACACCAGAAACTCCCAGCTTCAGCAATGCACTAAGTCATATTTTCGATCCGTTAACCATCCGAAATCGACCCGAGGCCCCTGGGACCTCAACCAAGCATACCAACAAGTCCTAAAACACGATACAAACTTAGTCAAGCCCTCAAATCATCTCAAACAACATCAAAAATATGAATCGAACCCTAATTCAAGTCTATTGAAACTAAGGAATTCCAACTTCTACAAACGATGCCGAAACCTATCTAATCATGTCCAATTGATACCAAATATTGCACACAAGTCACAAATGACACCACATACCTACTCCAACTCCCGGAACCAATCCGAACCCGGTAACCATAAAGTCCACTCTCGATCAAACTTCCAAATTATCAATTTTTTGCCATTTTAAGCCTAATTTCACTATGGACCTCCAAATCACAATCTGAACATGTTCCTAAAGTCCAAAATCACCCAACGGAGCTAACGGAACCATCAAAACTCTATTCCGGAATCGTTTATAGATAAATCGGCATTCGGTTAACCTTTTCAACTTAAGCTTCCAATCTTGAGACTAAGTGTCCCAATTCATTCTGAAATCCCTCCGGACTCGAACCGACTATTCCGTCAAGTCACATAATAGTTATAAAGTATAAAATGAGCAGTAAATGGGGTAAAGGGGCTACAAACTTTCAAAATGGTCGGCAGGGTCATTTTAGATGTGAAGCAGCCAAATAGGAAATTCTATGGCTTGATGGATTGTATAATTTGTGCTAATTGAAAAGAATGTTTGTTCGTAAAGGTTACGGTTACGAGTTAGCCAAATGTTCCATAGACTTAATGATATAAAGGTGCGAGAATTAATCTTATGAGGTAACTGAGGTGATTTTGAATTGATTAGAGGATGCAACCATTGTTGTGGGTGATCCATATGTATGAGCCCACTGATATGGCCTTGAAGCCCTAGTGAGGCCCAATAGGTTTGGCCATTGACACATGTTAGAAAAATATGAGTTAGAGTCTCATTGGCCCCCTGACAGTAGTAACAGGTTGCATCCATTATAATTCCAATAGATTGGAGAAAGTGACGTGTGGGCAATCTATTAGGTTGAGGGGCCAAATAAAATTTCTAACCTTAGGATGGATTGGCAAAGCCCAATCCATTTAAAATTTTGAGGGGGGGAAAGTGTTTGGGTGTGGTTATTTGCTAATGCATTATACAAGGAATGGACAGAAAAATGTCCATTAGGTGTTAAAGCCCAAATATGTGATCTGTTTCTCTTTTGTACAAAGAAATGGAGGATGTTTGAATGGCGTTTTATTTAGGAGCATTAATAAATTTCTCCTTTTAAATTTAGGAGGTTTTTTTTTATTTAATAAAATTTTGACTAATTTATACACTACTTTCAAACACATTCAGATTTTGAAGTATTTCAGTTGAAAAGTTTTTTAAGTTAATAAAATTTTAAAACACACTAGGAAAGTTTGGTATAATGTTTTGACAAGTAACTTTTTTATAAATATATTCGGTAAAAACAAACTTTTTGAATTTTTTTTGGTTTGAGAGTCTTTATTTATTAATAAATTTTTACACAATTTTATATACCCAAGTATCTCTATAAAAGAATCTATAGTTTTAGTTTTTCATCATCAAAATTTTGTATTGCTCAAGTAATAGTTACAAAATTAAGGGTTTCTAGTTCTCAATGACGAGCAAAAAGTTTTTGTATTAGTAATTAATTTTGCATTCACGTGATTGTATTAGCAGTTGAGTTTTCTTCGATATATTTGTAAACTTTGTATTTGTATTTGTCAAAACCAGCTATCCATGAGATTCAGCCATGGATTCTTAGCTGATCGAAGCTAACTTGGTGGGTTTGAGTAGGTCGGTGAAACAGAGGAAGAAGGTGGAGAGAGAATATTCTCAGAGATTCTATTTCATCTATCAATACTGCATATGTCTGTACATGTATATGTATAAAACTAAAAAACTAACTAACTCCACTACTAACTATGATTAACTAACTAACTACTAACCATAGTAAACTTAAGTTACAATTAGTACAACTAATTAACTCTCACTATAACTAATTAAGTGACATTGTTTGGCTCAATACTCCCCCTCAAGCTGGATGGTAGAAATAAATTTTCTACTCCCAGCTTGCTCAACAAATGATAGTGTGGTGTTTTTTCAAGACCTTTGGTAAGTAAATCTGCAAGTTGATCCTTAGTACTGACATGATGTGTTTGGATGAGACCTTGCTGCAATTTCTCAGACAATCGATGTCAATGTGTTTGGTCCTCTCGTGGAATATTGGATTAGCAGCTATCTGTATGGCTGCTTTACTATCACAAAAGAGGTTTATGGGAAATTTCATAGTGATTCCTAACTCCTTAAACAGACCCACAAGCCATGATAATTCAACTACTGTTGAGGCCATGCTTCTAAACTCTGCCTCTGCTGAACTTCTTAATATTGTGCTTTGTTTCTTGGATTTTCATGAAATAAGTGATTCCCCATACTTCACAATGTACCCTGTGACTGATTTTCTGGACTGTGGACAGGCTGCCCAGTCGGAGACACAATAGGCAACCAATGAATGAGAGGTTGCAAAAGACATTAGTAAACCCAAACCTGGAGAACTCTTCAAATATCTGATGACCCTGAGGGCTGCATTCATGTGTGACCTTTTAGGTTTGTGCATAAATTGGCTCAAGACCTGAACCACATAACTATATCAGGCCTGGTCATGGTAAGGTAGAGCAACCTTCCTACAAACCTTTGATAGGGTTCAACATCAGCCAGAATAGTATCATCATCATTCTTGGTCTACGTAGCTTCATTAAATTCCACTTGTGTGAGCTTCTGATTGACTTCCAAAGGTGTTGACACAGGCTTTGCTCCCCCTAGCCCTGAATCAGATATTAGATCAAGAGCATATTTGCGTTGATTCATGAGAATTCCAGGCTTACTTCTAGCAAATTCTATGCCTAAGAAGAATCTGAGCTCCCCTAAGTCTTTCATTTTAAACTTCTTCTGAAGGTCGTCTTTAGCAGCTTGAATAAGTTTCTGATTATTGCCTGTCACCAGAAGGTCATCTACATAGACTAGGACAACCACTAAAGCATCACCTCTTCTTTGTGTAAACAAGGAATAATCAAAGTGGCTTTGGACAAATCCCAGGTCTTGAAGAGCTTCAGTGAGCTTCAAGTCCCACTGTCGAGATGCTTGTTTGAGCCCATAACGTAACTTCTTCAATTTGCACACCTTGGCTTTAGACTCCCCCTTGATGCCAAAACCTTGAGGAAGATGCATGTATACTTCTTCAAAGAGACCCCCCTGCAAGAATGCATTGTGCACATCCATCTGATAGATGTGACAATGTTCTGAAGCAGCGCCAGCTATAACAGATCTGATAGTTACCATTTTAACTACAGGAGAAAAAGTCTCCTTGTAGTCTAGACCTTCCTTTTGGCTAAAGCCTTTGGCCACAAGCCTAGCCTTGAACCTTTCTACTTCCCCATTGGCTTTGTATTTGACTTTGTATACCCATTTACAACCTATAGGGTTTTGCTTTCAGGTAGATCAACTATATCCCAGGTCTTGTTGTCTTCCAAAGCTTGAATCTCATGACATTGACCCACTTTGCATCTTTGGCTGCCTCATAGTAGTGCTTGGGCTCAACAATAACTATTTGTGCAGTAAGACACTTTGCATATGAAGGAGATAACCCATCATAGCTCAGATAATTGGACATAGGATATGCACAAGAACTTGTCACATAATCATGCATCCATCTGGGAGGTCCAGTTGTCCTTTGGGATTTTCTGACTGCAATTGGTTAAACAACTTCTCCATGTGATGAAGGAGGCTCAATATCATGTGGTGCAGGGTTGTCAGGTTATGCTTCAGGTGAATCAGCATCATCAAATGTTGTAAAGTTATTAGTAGGAGTGGTATGCCCCTGAACATCATCAGAAACATGTTAGACTAACTTCTCATCTGTTAATTCAAGGACTGGAAATAAGGGATTAGGCATCATCTTCATTCGTTTAAAAGGAAACATCTTCTCCTTAAATACCACATCTCTACTGATCAGAAACTGTCTAGATTGCAAGTCATACAATAGCCCTTATTTGTTGGTCAGTATCCCATAAACACTGTTGGTAATGCTCTGGCAGAAAATTTGTCCTGTTTTCTTACATTTACAGCATAACATAAGCACTCAAACACCCTAAGGTGATCTAATGATGGTGCAGTGTTAAAGAATACTTCATAGGGAGACTTTCCTTTCAAGGCTGTGAAAGGCAATCTATTTATTATGTGTACTACTGTAAGGACACACTCTCCCCAAAATCTTAAGGGTGCTGCAGATTGAAATCTCAAAACTCTAGCTGTTTCAAGGATATATTTGTGTTTTCTTTCCACTATGCCATTCTGCTGCGGAGTATAAACACATGTAGTTTGATGTACAATACCTAATGTCTCAACTAGCTGCTTCATATTTGAATTAACAAATTCAGAACCATTATTTGTTCTCAGGATCTTAACAGAACAATCAAATTGAGTACTGATCATAGAAAACAATCTTTTCATTAACCAACAAGTCTCATCTTTAGCATTCATCAGGAAAAGCCAAGTTATTCTAGAGAAATCATCCACCACTATAAGAAAAAATCTCTTGCTATCATAAGTGGGTACTCTGAAAGGTCCCATACATCAGCATACAAAAGATCAAATGGTGCCTTAGCTCTACTAGTACTAGCTGGAAATGGTAATCGAGTCTGCCTAGCTAGTGGACAAACAGGACACATTGCACAATCACTGCTCCTATTACTAATGTGAAGATTTTTGAACTTATCAATACTCTTAATTATCTCCATAGGTAGGTGGCCAAGTCTCTGGTGCCATATCTCCAGTTTTATTGAATCTTGACTAACTGACATAGAAGTAGGCATGGTTGTGGTATGTACAGTTGGTGTAGTAATCTTCCTCCTACATATGCAATCTTTGAGTATGTACAGTCCATTTGCGTTATTACCAATCCCCAACACCTTCCCAGTGTAGAGATCCTAAAATACACATATATCAGGAAAGAAGGATACCAAACATTGCAACTCTTTTATCAATTTTGAAACAGACAGTAGGTTATACTTAAAATTTGGGACATGAAGAATATAACTAATCTGTTGGTTCTTGAATATACTAGTTGATCCACTATGTGTAATTGCAGTCACATCTCCATTTGGTAAATGAACTGAGTTGGGTTTTAGGAAAGAGGTAGGGTTAATGCTTCTAGCTTTGAAATCAGGTGGTTAGAGGCACCACTATCTACAATCCAAACATCTTGATCCAGGTTAGAAATTAAGGACATTATAATACCTGAATTCATTCATGTTGCATTAGCTGCTACTTCAGTCTCCTTCCCTTTAAGCAGTTGTAGAATCTGTTCATATTGTTCTGGAGTGAATGTGAGAACCATAGGTATAGAAGCAGTTGTTGTTGCTGGGACATCTTCAGCTGCAAAATTAGTTGTTGCCTGGGAATTGTACTTCTTCCTGAACTTGTTATCTTTTGGATATCCTACTACCTTGTAGCAAGTTTCTTTTGTGTGTCCTTTCATGTGGCATTCATCACACTGAAGATTGTAATTTTTCTTTGGCCTTTGCTGATTCCCAAAACTATTCGTCATCAGTGCTGCCATCTTACCCCCATCAACAGTGGTAAAGGTGTTGGACATTGTCCTCTGACTCTCACGCTCCATTAATATAGAATAAGCTTTGTTCACAGATGGAACAGGAACCATCATCAGGAGCTGGTTGCGTGTTTGTTCATAAGACTCATTTAGTCCCATTAGGAATTGTAGAAGCTTTTGACGCTCCATGAATTGAACAAATTCACGTGAGTTAGCAGCATCACGACTAGAAATTGGTGCCAAACTATCAAATTCTGCCCAAAGCACTCTCAATTTTGAGAACTAAGTCGAAATAGAACTGGTGCCCTGCCTAGCAGTAGCAATTTCTCTATGGATCTGAAATATCCTAGAGCAATCCACCTTATCAAATCGCTCCTTCAAATCGTCCCATACTTCATTAGCATTTGACAAATATACCATCCTACTCAACAATTCCGGAGAAACACAGTTCCTCAACCAAGACAATACAATTGCATTACAATGTTCCCAGAGATCTACGAGATTTGTACCATAGTTCTCCCTCTTGCATGTGCCGTCTATGAACCCTAGATTATTTTGACCTAGAATTGCAATCCTCATTGCCCGGCTCCACACAGAGTAGTTTTCTGGTCCTCATAGTTGCAACGAAATCAACACAGCTCCTGAATTCTCATTTGAATTCAGGTAAAGTGGATGATTGTGACCTAATTTCTTTGGTTCAGTGTTATCGACAGTCGCCATTGTTGATCTTCCAAAATAATGCAAAGAAGACTAAAATGGACGAAATTGAGAATGATGAGACCACACTAATGGTCGTGTGGCTCTGATACCATATCAAAACCAGCTATCCATGAGATTCGACCATGGATTCTTAGCTGATCGAAGCTAACTTGGTGGGTTTGAGTAGGTAAGGTGAAAGAGAGGAAGAAGGTGGAGAGAGAATATTCTCAAAGATTTTATTTCATCTATCAATACTGCGTATGTATGTACATGTATATGTATAAAACTGGAAAACTAACTAACTCCACTACTAACTATGGTTATCTCAAAGATTTTTTATTTTCTCAAAGAAGGTGGAGAGAGAATATTCTTAAAGATTTTTTATTTTCTTTCTATTAGGACTTTTTAATTTATTTTTCATCACCCTGTTTCTAGCTAATATAGAACAAAAATTAATAAGTGAATTTATATATAGATATAGTTATAGATATGTTGATACATAGATTAGATTTGATCAAAATCCATTTAGATTTTGTCTAAAAAGTGCCAAGTGACCATTTTTAATAGGCCATTTGGCCTAACCTCATGCTTCACTACCCTTCTTTTAATATACAGAAAATGGGTCAGAAATATCCTTATACTATTTTATTTATACACTCTGTTATACTATTGGTCCAATAAAGTGCTCGATGTCATAGAATTGGTGCAAAAGTACCACTCTACCGTTAGGACCCTCCACCATGGAAATATTATCCTATGTGGCCTGCCATATCGCTTAGGTAAATGCCACATGGCATACCATCTCATTGCACTTATTCCATTTTACCCCTCCCTAATTCTTCTTCTTCCACCACCACCCCCTTCAATAAAACACCTACCCACCTAATTAAATACCATCCATTAGAGGACAAGAAACTTCGATTTTGGTTAGATTACAAATTGTGTATTGTCATTAATCACATTCCAAGCCTTCTTTCCACTCTCTGTGACATTTCGGTACCCACCCACCCTTTTTTCAAAGGTGGGTATTGGCCTTGAATTCAATTGGTCGCCCTTTTTAGTAGTATAAAGTTAAAAGGATGAAAATGTTATTACTTGAACTATAGTGAATAATCCTCTTTCCAGCAAAGAAATAATAATCAAAGGTTTATTTGATAGGATTGAGAACTGATCTTTGAAGTTAGTATCAATAATTACTTTAAGCTTCTAATTTTCAAGAATTGACCCATTAAATTTATATTGTCTGAAACTTATGATGGAATATGAAAGAGAGAACTGGAAGTTTCAAGTAATATAAATTGCTAACTTAAAATATTAAATTTGAAAAAGTAATCTCCATTTATATTGGAACTGTGAAACAGAAAACTTAACATATGAACTGCAGTGAAGAAACCCTCGAGATGGACCAAATAACTCCATTATGTCACATTCAAATAGGAATTATAGTTCATCAGAGTTGCTTCTTACGATATTTATTGACTCTCCTATTCAAGTTAGAGTTAAATTCTAGTGGTTTTGACTTAAAATTTATATATAATATAATTTGAAACTTAATTTATTAATTAAGTAATCTCATTTCTATATTTTTTAATCATACGATATTCAATTTCAACCATTAGATAAGGTTACCAAATAATATAGGCTTGGAGCTTGCTGTGTTTGAGAACTAACACATAACAATCGTCAGCTTTCTTCGGTGTTCTTTTACCTTCTTACTTTTCTCTTGCTTTTGTGTTTATATACTGTCAAGACCCGGAATTTCCACCTTCGGAATCGTGATGTAGCCTAACATTTCACTTGTTAGGCAAGCCAACGTTAGAGTAATTCTTTGCCAAATTTAACCACTTCGAACAATTTAACCAATTAAACAGAAATAAAGCTAAAATGAGGTACGAAATAGCATAAACATCTGATATCTAGTACAACCCGGATCTGGAGTCACAAGTACACGAGCATCTAGAGGTTCTACATATAAAGTCTGAAATAAGTACAACTGTCATGAATGAAATGAACAGCGAAATAAGGAAGGAGGAAGGGGACTTCAAGGTCTGCGGATGCCAGCAGATCTACCTCGAGTCTCCAAATGCTAATCCGAGATGATACGCCTCACAGACAGCTGGGACCAGTATCAAAATCTGCATAAGAAGTGCAGAGTGTAGTATGAGTACAACCGACCCAATTTACTCCGTAAGTGTCGAGCCTAACCTCGACGAGGTAGTGACGAGGCTATGACAGGACACCCACGTAAATAAACTTGTACAGAAGGAAATATACGTACAATATAACAACAAATAAAGAATAACAAGTACTATTGGGAGGGGACATGTGAAAGGGGTACAGATACGGTAACCACAGCAGGGAATGATAATAAGAAACAGTCTATAAACCCTTAACCAACAAAATGAACAAACATAATGAATAAAACTGCACAGCATCACCCTTCATGCTTTTACTCTCAGCCTCATCATGAAACAGTAATAACGACACGACATCACCCTTCGTACTTTTTACTCTCAATCTCTCCATAACATGATAAATACGGCACGACATCACCCTTCGTGCTTTTGCTCTCAATTTCATCATGAATCAATAAATACGGCACGACATCACCCTTCATGCTTTTACTCTTAAATACGGCACGACATCACCCTTCGTACTTTAACACTCTCCCTTACCATGTAGCAATGAACATATAACAACAGAGAGATAGAATTAAACAAGAACAAACCTTACATCAACAATGGTTCCATAATACCAAACTCAACTTCCGAAACAATACTCAATTATCACAAATAACCCATAAATGTGGAAAGAACGATTAATTTAGTAGTTAACTAGTCTAAGCATGGATATCATGATCAAAGAAAGCAATAAATTACAAGAAACAAGTCCCACCCGCATGGTTTAACCCAATAACAATGCATAAGTATTCGTAACCTCACATATACATTGTATCCAACATTTAAACAAGTAGAAAGTAGGCAAACAAGTCATAAACCCTCAAGTCAAGGTTAACCACGACACTTACCTCGCTCCAAAAGTCGGCTCAAAGTTCTACCGGAGCCTTTCCCCAAGAATACGCCTCCAACCCACTCGTATCTAACCAAAGTTGACTCAATAATGTCAAATATTGCTAAAGGAATCAATTACAATGCATAAATTTAGGATTTCCACACTTTTACCCTTAAGTAAAAAATCGAACCCAGACCTGCTTGGTCAAAACCTGAGGTTCGGACCAAAATTCACTTACCTATTCACCCCCGAGCCCGATTATGTAATTAGTTTCGGAATCCGACTTCAATTTGAGGTCTAAATCCTTAATTTGCAAAAAAAAAAAACCAATTCTTCCTAAATCCCTAGTTTCTACCAGGGAAGAACAAAGGTCAGGGCTAGAAATTAATGGGTGATGTTAGAAATAGAAGGAAGTGAGTTATAGCGTACAAACCTATGAATTGATGTTGAGTTTTCTCTTCAAAATCGCCTCTAGGCTGAGCTCTAATGGGCGGCAGGCTTTCTTCGCATTCATGAAGGGCCTGACGTGATCGCGAAGCAGCGGCTCAAATAGCCTACGCGTTCGCGAGCCTTGTGCTGCGTTCGCGAAGAGTATAGGTCAGTTCCCCTCCTCCAGATCCACAAAGCTATGTGTTCGCGGTACACTGTTCGCATTCGCGAAGGGCAGCCCCCCCTCCACTTCGCGTTCGCATATAGTCATTTGGGTTTGGATAGAGTAAAATCCTCCCCTGCCCAGTTCCCCATTCACGGTCGCAGTAGTGGCTTCGCGATCGTGAAGTACATTACACCAGAAACTAGTAGAAGTCCAAAAAACCAGATTTTTCTAAGTATAAATCATCTGTAGCGTATCAAAAACTCACTCGAGCCCTCGGGGCTCCAAACCAAATATGCACACAAGTTTAAAAACTTCATATGAACTCACTCACGCTATCAAAGCTCCAAAATAATGCCTAGACCTACGAATAGGACACCAAATCAAATGAAATTTTCAAAAAAACTTTAGAACTTCTATTATAGCAACCGGACGTCCGAATCACGTCAAACTAACTCCATTTTTCACCAAATTTGACAAATAAGTCATAAATATAGTAATGAACCTATATCGAGTTCTGAAACCAAAATACGGATCCGGTATCAAAAAAGTCAAACAATTATCAAATCTTTGAATTCATTAAACCTTTAAACTTCAATTTTCGACAAAAAACGATAATTCGAGCTAGAGACCTCCGAATTCATTTCTGGGCATATGCCCAGGTCCCGAATCACAATACGAACCCACCGGGACTGTCAAAACACAGATCCAGGTTCATTTACTCAAAATATTGACCAAAATCAACTCAAATGGATTTTCAAGGCAAAATTTCATATTTTATCAATTTTTAACTTAAAAGCCTTCTGAAAAACACCCGAATTGTGCACGCAAACTGATGAAGGCTAAAAGAAGCTATTGGAGACTTAGAAACACAGAATTAGGGTTTAAAACTCTAGATGACCTATCAGGTCATCATATTCTCCACCTCTAAAGCAACCGTTCGTCCTCGAACGGACATAGAAAAGTACCTGGATTGGTGAAAAAGTGTGGATATCTACTCTGCATGTCCGACTCGGACTCTCAAGTAGCTGCCTCGATGGGCTGACCTCTCCACTACACTCGAACTGAAGGATAACTCTTAGACCTCAACTATCGAACCTACCGGGCTAGAATAGCCATCAGCTCCTCCTCATAAGTCAAATCCTTGTCCAATTGGACTGAACTGAAATCTAACACATGGGACGGATCATCGTGATATTTCCGGATCATGGACACATGGAACACCGTATGGACTGCTGATAAACTCGGTGGAAATGCGAGCTTGTAAGCCACTTCA